GTCGGTTCAAACAAAATGTTAGGTCTACCAGTTGATCTATCCGTGGTAGAGGAAAGCTGTCTTTTGGGCACGCCTTGTTGACTGTTTTGTAGTCGACGCAGACGCGCCACTTGCCATTCTTCTTTGGCACTACGACTGTGTTGGAGATCGATCTTGGGTAGTGCACTTCTCTAATTGCTCCTGCCTCCAGCAGGTTACTTACTTCTTCCGCCACGATTTCGGCATGGTGAAGTGCCAATCTGCGAGTGCGCTGAATGACTGGCCTGGCAGATGGGTGGACATTGAGTTGGTGACAGATGAAGTTTGGATCAATGCCTGGCATGTCGTAGGGTGTCCAGGCGAACACTTCGATGTTAGAGGTTAAGAATTCCAAGACCTCTAATCTCTCAGTGCTGGACAATGACGAACCAAGCAAAAAGAACTTATCCGGGTTCTTTTCATCTATTTTTACCTCTACCAAGTCCTCCACTGCTTTCTGATCCGCCGCTTTGCCGACATCTGCAAATAGCTCATTACTCTCAGGTTCTTCCACCGAATGAACGTATCCTTTGGCAGCGCGGCTGCCATTCATCGTGACGAAGCATTGCTTTGACATGATTTGATCTCCATAGATTTCTTCAATTACTCCGGTGTCGTTGGGAAACCGCATCACCTGGTGGTAGGATGACGCCACCGATCGCATGGCATGCAGCCATGTTCTGCCCAAGATGATGTTATAAGTGGAGGGGACCTTCAATACCCAGAACTCCACTTGTTTCGTCACGCTTCCTGCTCTAACTGGAAGAATTATTTTGCCGACAGGCCATTCTGGCATAGAGTTGAATCCAATTAGGGGTGATATAGCAGGCGCCAAGTCTTTGTCTTGTAGCTTTAGTTGTTTAAATGTTTCGTAGTACTTGATTTCACATGAACTATCCTAGTCAATCAGAATCCGCTTGACGTCAAAGTCCTTGACTCGGAGAGTGACGACCAGGGCATCATTGTGAGGGCAATATATCCGTTCTAAGTCTTTATCCGAAAAAGACATGACGTTTGTTGCCTCTGTCTTCCCCTTCTTGGTGGCAGGTTGGGCACTTAGCACCTCTCTTAAGTGTTCAACCTTTTTGATTGTTCCTCTGAGCTCGCATACACGCTCAGGTTCAAAGACTCCATGTATCACATTGATAACGCCTTGGGGTGGAGCGTCGACTGGCATCCCGTTGGGGTTATTGTGATCCTGGGGGGCTGGTTGCGTCCCTCCTTCAATGTATTTATCCAAGTGGCCTGCTGTCACCAACTCCTCCAGGTGTTGTCTCAATGGTGTGCAATTCTCAGTGCGGTGTCCCTTTTCTTTATGGAAGGTGCACCGTGATCTTTCGTCATAGTCCTTCTGTGCTTCCCCTAGTTTGGCTGGCCACTTGACGAAAGGCTCATCTCTTATTTCGCTCAGAATCCGATATATCGGTTTTTTGAACACCGTGGTTATGGCAGTGCGGATTCTCAACCATCTTTTATCCGAGTCTTCTCCGTTATCTCGTCTGCCACGTCCGTTTCTGTTACTTCGATCTACCGTGTTGACCTTTGCTGAGGTCTTCTTTTCTGGTACTGTGGTTGCCCCAGATTTTGCTTTGGCACGTGCGCCATCCTCTTCTACCCTGATGTGCTGGTGCTCTCTTTCCATCAAGGCTTCCATGGTGAAGGGCGGCGTCATGGTGATTGAGTCCCTTAGTCTGTTCCCGACTGGAAGGCCTCTTTTATACTGTGCAATGGCGAGATTGGTGGGGCAGTCCCCAATCTGATTGAATGTCTCCCAGTAGCGACTATTGTAAGATCTTAGGGTCTCTTTATCGCCCATGTCGATGGAGAGTAGCTGGTCGATCTCCACTGGGGTTTTTGTGTTTGTTCGGAACCTTGTTACGAAGGCCTCTACCAATTGTGCCCAAGAGGCTATGCTGCCCTCTGGAAGTTTCTCGAACCAAGTCAAGCCTAGGTCGCCAAGGCTAGATGGGAAGAGTATGCACATTAAGGCCTCGTTTCGCCTGTATACAGCCATGACCTGGCGAAAGTGGCTCAAGTGTGAGTAGGGGTCCGTCTTCCCTTCATATGTAGTGAATTTTGGCTGAAAGAAGCCCGATGGTAAGGGCGCGTTTTCAATCGCCGGAACAAACGATGAAGTCTGCAGCCTTGCCAATGCTTTGTCCGTTGGTTCGTAGACAGGGCGTGGTATTGGCATTCTAACCTCGACGCTTCCATGCGTCCGAGGAGCCAACCTTTGTAAGGCAGAGACTCTGTGCGGATCCCGTGCCCTGGCATCCTCCTTGTATCGTGTTTTTTCTTCGAGCACGGTTCGTAAGTCGGATGACCTGGGTAACTCTGTTTGTCTAGATCTGGTTTGGTGCGTATGTGAGGGCCAATACGTGCTTCCTTCAGTGTATGATCTTTCAGATCTCGTCCTCTCAGACCTGGAGTGACGAGTTCTGGAAGACCAGGATTGAGTATCGCCTGTCCTCAGGCTTCTACTCTCTCCTTGCGAGGGTGTGGTATTCCTACTACGATTTTCTGAGTGGCGAGGGGGCGTCTTGTTTTTGTGCCCCTCTCCTGTCGCCACTTCTTTCCTCTTCATCTGGCGCTTTAAGGCCTCCATGTCCGCCGCCATCTTCCTTATTAATTCATCTTGCTCCTTCACGCGGTCTTCCAGAGCTTGAGGATCAATTCTCCGTCTTTGCCTGTCAGGACTTTGAGAATGAGATTGACGGGGGCTGTGAGTCCGTCTTCCCCTAGTATCTCTCCTGGGGTTATGTCGCTGGGATTCCAAGTCCGCCATGGGAGGGACAGAAGGTAATCCTTCACGCCTTGCGCCCCCATCTGGAGTTAGCCCGACGACGGCGGACTGCGGCAATTCTTCAATGTGTGCCATTGTGTGAAAAGAGGAGAAGCTTAATCAAAAGGTTTTGTTCTGTCTGTGTTCCCACAAACGGCGCCAATTGTACGGGAAAGAAATAAACCTTCTCGTATAATCCTGTTGACCAAGTCTGCTCTCCTCCGTACGTCGTCGCTTTATCACCTGAAAACACAAACGTGAGCTAGCCGGCGGGTGTGTGCCGGAAACCTCTCCGATGCCTAAGTCAGTAAGCTTGGCAAATAGACAAAAGCTCTGTGTATTCAGAAAGCAAAGTTGTGTGTTACCTCTCCAAAGGTGATATTTGTGAGCTTTTATAGGTTTTGTGTGGCACAATCCTAATAGGACTTATATTCCTCCATGCAGAGTCCTCCTAGGATTCATACTCCTGAAAGATAATGCTTATCCTTCAACACCCCCCTCACTGCTTAAACCAAGTGAGATGGTTCTATCATGGCCGAACTCCAATACGACCGAAGTAAACACGACTATGCAAAGCCGTAGAATGAGCCGAACTAGTTCTTCCTTTTACTTCTCTTACGTCGGCTTCTTATGCACAGCACATGGCATGGTCGGACCGAACTAACGAATCGTGACCGGTATAACTCCAAGACCGGTCTAACTCAAAGACCGATCTAACTTCGCTCTTACGTCGGACCGGACTAGCTCCGCAGTCTTAGGACCGGACTAACTCCAAAATATCGCACGACCGGAGTATCTTCCATGGCCCTTTCACTTCGGCCCTTTATACTGAGGCCATAATGTCCATCTCATATCTCGGCCCAATTTTCACCAAAATTACCCTCTCAGTTTTCATTTTGACCTTCATGGTGGTGATCACTAGTCTGAATGCTTCAGCAAAATCCAAAGGGCATGTGGATAGATTTTTGTTAATTTCCTTGCATCCATGTTCCATCTGTGCAAACCTTCATAAATGTAGCCAAGATACAATGAGCTTTTTTATAGCAATAATGATTAATTTTTAGTGTTTCAAGGTCAATCTATGTACTCCCCTTTTGTGATATCCTAGATATTAGTATTTCCATTGCATGTTAGGGCATGTTATATTTCATATGTGAAAATGCTCTATGATGTTGTTGGAAGATGATTAAGTACATGCTATTTATACACCATTCTTTGGTGTGTAGAAACCCTAACATGGGAAGATTAGCTTAATCAAGGAGTTAAAGTGAATTAAGTTTATATCATTCAAAAACCTATATATTGTTAAATCATGATTACTTAAGTCTATCGTGCTTAGAAAGGCGTATGAAAGTGAGAGTTGTCAGAATGACCTCCAAATGAATCACGAAGCAGTCTCGTTAGTTTAGAATCTCTAATAGGAATGTGAGGACTATTTTCAGCCAATGCATTTATACATTTCCCCAGGGAAGTAAGAGAAAGATTAATAAACTTAGCCTCTTCAAGCAAGCGGCCTTCACTGCCTGCACAAATAAAAATAAGCATGAAGTACTGAAAAATAATATATTAGATAAAAGCAAATCACCATTCTACCATACAAAGACTCAACTCAATGCTCAATAGAGCACATTGCTATTTTATCATTTCAGTGGGTAAAAATAAGGATTAGAATCTTATACTATTAACCCACATGAAGATAAATTTGAGCACTTCGAAGTAAACAAATGGGAGGGGAAAAAACAAGCAAGAGATAGAGAGAGAAGAACAACAGTGGCAGAAATGGCAGTTTGAAATTCAAGGAGTATTTCAGATATGTGGTATGACAACAAACCAGATTTGTCTAATCTCTCAGATCCGGCAAGATCCACTATCAGCAGCTTGCTTTTTCGTACAGTAGGAATGCCATGACCATAAGATAAATCTCTTTTACTGTCTTTTTCATGAAAAGGAGCATCATTGTCCTCGTCATGGACAGCTCTCCGAACATGAACCTATTGGAACAGTGGAAGGGGAGAGAGAGAGAGAAAAAAAGCAGATATGGAAAGTAATAAGTTTCAAGAACAGTCATAAAGTATGTTGATTATACTCCATAAACTTAAGGATTAAATCAAGAAATTAGAATCTGACATGAGCCCATAAGAATTGCATGACTACGAGAAGACCCTGTATTCATCTTTGTATTTGCTGCATGACGGTTTGCCTCACCAGTTTGAAGTAGTTGAAAAAAGTGATCAAGATCTCGAATTTTAACTACCACTGCACCAGGCAATGTCACTTCTCCAGTCTTGGGGTCCTCAACAATTGGGAAATTAATCTTCTCTGGTGCAAGTAAATATTGTATATATTCCAGATACAACTGGTACAGAAACAAAATGCATGCTTTATTATGGAAAATCAAATTGATACAGGTTATGAAAGAAAGAACATGAATAGGTTTCAAACTACATAAACAATCTGATGACAAGTTAAGCTCTAAAGAAAACATTTTTTTGCTTATGGGCTCATTTCTAGATATTGAAGATGAAAGTAAGAGATAGTATTAAGCAATTTTTGCTTTATTTTCACGGTTACAAAAGTAATGAGGTTAGTTCCACATAATATTAGTGAGTTGAAAATTTAAATTGACTAATGAAATCCATTTTTAACACCTTTATGTTTGTTTATAAATAAAAGGTCTGCTTTTGTTTTTTATATTTTTTTATTTTTAACTAGCATGAAGTGTATCACCTCTTAGTGTTTTTTTCGCCTTTTGTCCTGTTTGGCAAGTGAGTTGGATTTAGATTGTGTCTAAAAAAAGATAAAACAACACTGTTGTGTAACTTGAATTCGAATTTGGCCCGAATAGCTCGAAATTCATCTTGTTGGTCGTCCGACGAGAAGGCCGACAACCGCAATCAACAATGTGACAACCGCGGTAGACAAGTGTTCCACCTAATCGTTCGGGTGGTCATCCGGCTGGTCGTCTGGTAAACACCAATTCGGGCCATTCGAGCCCCTCCCTTTTCGAGCTACAAGGCATTTTTTAAGATAAAATAATCTAAATAACTTAATAAGATAAAATATTACATCCAAATCAAAATCATTTTATTTTTTTCTCACAAAAAAATCAAAAAACAAAAATTAAAAAAGTCAAAAATTCTTCCTAAACGGAACTAGGTTAAATTAGCTAAAAAAACTAAAAAGTCGGGATCAAAAAGTTCTTCCCAAATGAACATTTTTCTTTTTATATCAGAAAAAAGACATTCTATAGGGCATCGTAGCTTCTGTAAGCCTTGACTCTTGGATAGCTAGTTGACAACCAAATTTAACCCAATCTATAGTAAAGAATTTACTATTGGGATAACAATGGATCTCGTTCAACTCCCACAACAAGAAGCAAAGTTACGATCAAAATACAGTATATTTATCTTGCGAAGTTCTTGTCCCTCAGGATTTGAACCGTACTCTTATGTGTAAAAGGCTAGTGCGTTGTCCATGCTATCACCACCCTGGTAGTCTATTTTAAGTCCACTTGATTCATGATTTTGTGGTGCAATATTAGAATTTGTTTAAATTATAATTTTCTTTTTTAAAAATTAGGTAGTTTATTTCTAATATACATTTTTAAAAGTAAATATGATTTAAACATGCCATTATTCATCTATGATAAATTTAATTTTTAAATAAATAATCTATTAAAGTCATTAAAAATAAACTGTTCAAATTAATAGATTTATAATGGACTGAACAAAAAGTTACAATTCAAATAATTGAGGGGAGAGAAAAACATCCCATGTAAAATTTATCATATTTTTTTAGAAAAATATTGAGATGTATCACATAGCATAATAAGCAACATAATAAATAAATAATAAATAATTGATGAAATAATAAAATAATATATAATCACCAAGGATCCTCTAGAGTGTTTTTTTCCTAAAATTTCCTAAAGTGATGTATTGTGTGATTGAGATTTAATGTTAAAAAATTGATGTGACTTGTCATTAAGGCCAAGTTTGGCATGACCTAAATAATACAAAAAGTCAAAAAGTCACTATCCTATTTAAGTCACATCATCTTATTTAAATCACATCACCTCTCTAACACATCACATCAAACCCAACCCAAACCTAACCCATATAAGCCAATAAGTCAAAAAGTGTACTTTTTTAGAACATCTCAAACCAACCCTAAATCTCAACCACACAATGCACCACTCTAGGAAACTTTAGGAAAAAAACACTCTAGAGGATCCTTAGTAGCTCTTTTGTAAATAAGTTGAGTGAGAAAAAAATAAAGAATTGAGATTTTCTCTAATACTGTGTTTGGTTGAAGAATTTGATGAGGGATATGGAAAGAGAAATAGAAAAGGTAGGTGAAATATAAAGATTTGATGAAGGATATGGAAAGAGAAACAGAAAAAGTAGATGAAATGTAAATAAAATATATCTACATTTTATCTAGTTTCACACACATTTTTTCTTTCCCTTTCTAAAGTCCTCCCCAAATCTCTCAACCAAACACAATGCAAGTAAACAGTAAGAAAACACTAAAAATGAATAAATAAAATAAAATAAAATAAATCATGCTGCCTGAGTTGAATTTGCCCGAGTAGTCTGCTTAAGTTGCATCCCTAACTGTGAGATGACAATATTAGTAAAAACATTTTAACCAATAAATTACATCCACATATTCATGCCTACACCAATAAATAGTTACAAACTAAAATTTTAAAGAAAAACTATAAATTATGTTTTACAAAACATGGATTCTAGCTAAATAGTTTTTGTAGCATAAATATATGTCATAAGAAAAGTAGTTCTGTATGTGAATTGACTTTTTCTTTTTGGAGCAAATCATAGGCACAGGCCTTCTTTATGTGCCATTCAAACCATGGGCACTGGGAGCTCATCCACTTTCCACCTCCATGGTACAATCTCTTTTGGGTGCTCAGAATCATTCGCTCAAGTGAGACAGCATTCTTAAGCAAATAAATAGCAAGCTCCATCTCATTCGATCTCCCCAAGAAACCGTGTACTTCAACCTCTTTCAGTTCACAATGTACATGTTTTGAGTACTGCTGCTCTATTCTTCGACCTCTGGATCTCCCAGTGTGTAACTGCCACCAACCAAAAATATATTTATATTCTTTTATGATAAATAACCTAACCTATCACTTAACAAAACTTCATTATATCATACCAAGAGTAGAACAAAAACACATACCACAACCAAAAATGCAAAGCCATAAGAACACGCAAAAACTTCAAAATATATATATATATAAATATAGGCCTTACAATTCACAAAATAAATCTCAACACAACTCCCCAATACGAACCGAAAAACCATTCACCATGAAAAACATTAACGAGATGCAGGCCATGGAGCTGCAAAATCACTTAACTGTCTAGCCTTTTTGAAATCTTTGTTACAGCTCCCAGAGATATCTTAACTGATGACATTTTCTCATAACATTTTGAAAAATCAGACACAAGCAAGGAACAAAACTTTGTTTTCTTTCCATCAAGTGGTTGAAACGGCTCCTTTTCCTAGCAACCAACACAAAAAAACTAGTGCAATACCGAAATTCCTGTGTTTCCATTAAAAAGGCAATGAAACAATGAGTCCTTTCACCACCTACTATAAATATCCAACAATAATTATTTTTATTTGCTGCTTTTTGTTAATAGAAAGGCATTTAAAAACAAAGAAAATTCTTAAATTTATTAGGAAGTAGGAAAGGAGAGAGAGGAGAAGATAAACAAGCATGTTTAATCACTTAAAATTCTTTCTTTCTTACAACTATGCAATCCTGAATTATGCACCTTCTTACACATCCAGATTGTATAACAATTCTTGGATAGCATTTACTTCAGGATTGCATAGTTGTGCCCTTTATGTAAAGATATGCACAGACCTCGACAGGTTTTAGTTTGTGTTTCTAAATATTTCCATATGTTTCCCAATTCGTTTCTCATTTCATCTGTTGTTTCCAAATCATGTCCATGCTAACCAAAACAACACACCAAAAACGAAATTTGATCATTGGCCAAAACATGTCCATGCTAACCATCTTAGTGTGAGAAGGAACCAACTAATCGGATAAGGAAATGTTACCTTAAGAAGTAGAACCTAATCTACTTAGGAAGGTGTCCTTGCTAGGCAAGTGTATTCCTAGATGGAAAAGAAAATTTGTAAAAGTGGAATGACACTCCTATATAAAGGCTACACCCCCAAGTGTTGTGGTATGAGTTTCTGGTTAAGAGCATTAGAGCATTCTTGAGTATTTTGGTGTTCTTTGAGGAGTTGTTGACTTGAGCATCGAAGTGTCCTCTAGCTGACGAAAAGATTGAACAAGTGCTCACCTCAATTTTGCAGATGTAGAGCTCAGGAGTATTAATTCACATCATCAACCATGTGGTCCAATTTTTACCCACAATTTGGCACCATCTGTGAGAAACGAGGACAAGATGTACCAAAGCTCAACACGAAGGCCATTGGGGCTAAGAATGGAAAGTAGCTATCACAGACGCAAGAAGTGCCGCACCACGACCGTGCCCTCGAGGTCCTCACTGGATAGGTCGAGAAGATAAGTCTCCATGCTCAAGAAGAGCAAAGCTCATCCGATCAATACTCACTAGAAGAAGAGTAATGCTATAGACCACTAATTTGGTATCACTAACCTCACCACTAGTGACTTGGCAATTCAAAAAAAAAAAAAAAAAAACCAAAATCAAGGCACAAATACACTGGCAGTGGGTGGGACCCACTGCCACATCATTAGGGCCACCACTAATTAGTGGTCTAAGGCATTTTCCCTAGAAGAATACCCAAGATTGCCATATCTAAGGTCAAGTTCACTGAAATCCATTGTAAAAAGATAAAAGCCGCAGCATGAGAGCAATGAGAATATAGAGTAACGACGATTACAGAAGTTGGAGCATATAGGCTCAATAATTTGGAAGGCAATTGTTTGTGTAAATTGTTGTCTTGGGGCAAGGCCCTGAAGTAATGGTATTCTCAGTCGAGATAGGTGAGAAGAAAAAGCCCAGTTCGGGAAAGAACACATGTTTGGGTGCACTTCCAGGGCTCAATTGGTGTGAGGGCAGGTTGTGGTCAACTTGAATGTATCGAAGAAATGTCCCTTGCAAAGGCTAGAAGCTGAT